ATTCCCTGTATTTAGCTGGGTATATCCTTGTGTTAGGCCTAGTTGCACTAAGAGCCAAAGACCATAAGTAACAGGTTATGGTCTATAAACATTGGCCAGTTAGCTGGCAGTGACTGCAACATGGTATTTTGTACATGCAAGAAAGTTTCCACACAATCAGCTACAACATAACCTGTAACTGCACTCTAAATATCATCCACAGGACTATAGTATTTATTTTTACAAATAATTTATTTACCAAATTGTTTTATCCAACTGTAAATTATTTACAAACTCAAAACTAACAAGAACATGGAAAAAAGATCTGGAGCACAGGCACCCTTCACAGAGAGAAGAGCGGGAAGAGATGAAAATTTCTTTTAGAAATGCTTCTGTTCAGGAAAAAAGTATCATTGACCTGTCCTCATTTTAGCTTTTATTTTTCAATTCTGGAAGTTAAAGTACATTAGCAGGTGAGCAAGGTACTCTCAGGCATGTAGTGTCATTCTTGGGGATGGTCCTGTGCAGGGCCAGGAGTTGAACTTGATGATCCTTGTGAATCCTTTCCTGCTCAGCATAATCTTTGATTCCAAGACTTGTGTGAGAAGAGCAAGAGGAAGGTAACAGGCAGAATAAACAAAAAAAGCTTACAGATTTCATTATACTTTCTAAAGGGAGCAAATGTATGTCTAATACATGCCTATTGCTCTGATTTCCCTGCTGAAAACTACTGACTGGATGATGCCTTCAGCCACAGAGACTGACAGAACTCAAAACACAGCCTTAGAGAACTTATCCAGTCATTTACAAATGCACAGTAAATAGGTAACTTCCCTCGGCATTTTTTTAAATGAAAAAAATACTTTTTTTGATTCTGACAGACTTAAGTTTTAAAATATTGCCAAACTTCAAACTCCATACATACATAAAACATTTCATTGATAAAGAGCACACAGGTAATTATGCAAACCCCTGATTCTTTATGCTAGCTTCATAGGATACCTCATAAAAGGGCTTTTTTTTCTTAATTAAATCAGCAAGCATGCACTCAAGCATCCTTACCATAGTAAATCAATTTGTGTGTGCATTGAATGAAAGCAAATTCAAGATATAAACACACCACAGAACTGATTTCACAGAAGGCGTTATTGTAAGCAGTGTGGAAAGCGTTTTTAAAAGCACTGTTAGAAACACTTTGACAGTGCTCCTTTAAAAATTAATTTAAAGGGAGGTTGATACCTTCTTCCAATCCATAGCTAGATCTGAGCACCACTGTAGCAAAGAGCACAGAACTGATTTTTATTTCAGATGCATCAGTAAGATTAAATTGATCCTTGCTCATTGTACCATATAAAAATCAACAGAAAAGCTAAAGAAGATGGAAAAACCAAGGGAATTTACAGAGGAAAAGGTCACAGATACATGTAGTTTGAGAAAAAAAGAGAAGCCTTCTCCCCAAATACCTACATGCACTCTTCCACAACCCCATTCTATTATTATGAAAAGCTCCTTATGATTTTAACAGACAGGAATATGCCCAAGGCAGTATATGTTGAGAAGAAATTACAGCTAGTATAACCAGAGTGCAGCTTAGGTAGTCTGCTAGGGCAGAAACCTACAAAGACAAACCTGATATTCCTACCAGTAACTTTGGTATTTCCTACTTAAGAGTATAATAAAACAGAAGTTGGTCCTTTTGAACAGGATCAGCAAATTTAGAAACCAAAAGCACACACAAAGAGCAATATTGAACACTCAAGTTACAGCGGTAAATTTCACATCCCATAACAATAACAGCCAATGAAACAGACTAGAGTTTTTAAGCCTTTGTGCCTACACTCATCTGCAGAGGAATCCTTTCTAAGGGTCTAAAACAGTGTGTAAGGCTGCAGCTGAGAAGCTGATGTTCACAACAGCACAGGTGTCACCACTTGCTCCTTCTTCCTTCTCACCGTCCTCCAGGCACAGCCCCTCAGCAAAATGCAGTTTTCACTGCCAGGTGAGCAGGGTCTCACCCCAGCTCCCCAACAAAGGCAGTCTGGGGGAGAGGGAGCAAAGAGCAGGAATGAAGTGGCAGCCACAACAACCAGCCCCAGCAGCATCGATGGAAGGTGTCAAACTATGGCCTGAAAATTCCCAAGGTGCCCTCAGGCAGTGGGGGTGCCAGTGGGATGCTGGGCCACCTCCCTTGACACAGGCCACGGACAGTTTGAGGCACACTACTGAAGGCACGCTTTAGAATCATAAAATCACAGAATAAGCTGAGTTGGAAGGGACCCGTCAGGACCATCAAGTCCAACTCCTGGCCCTGCAGAGGACACAGCAAGAGTCACGCCATGTGCCTGAGAGCACTGTCCAAACACTTCAACTCTATCAGGCCAACTCTATCAAGCCAACTCTGTCAGGCTTGCCTGACACCACTGCCTTGGGGAGCCTGTTCCAGCGTCCAGCCACCCTCTAGGCGAAAAACCTTTTTCTAATATCCAACCTAAACCTCCCCTGCACAACTTCAGGCCATTCCCTTAAGTCCTGTCACCGGGCACGAGAATGAAGGGATCATTGCCTGCCCCTCCGCTTCCCCTCTCTAGAGAGAAGGTTGGGTGCATATATACATGTATTTATTTTTATTATTATCATATTTTCCAGGGAGAGTGCTGCAAGCCCCTTTATATGACCCACCATAGTATTGCTCGCAGTCCTCCTGTAAGGGGTGCGAGCAGCGCGGGATTCCCGGGGCACAGCCCGGCCCGAAGGAGCAGGGAGAGAGCCCGCGCTGCCCTCAGGCTGCACCGCCGCCCGCCCCGCCATGCCGGCCACCCCTGCCCGCGGGCTCCCCCTACCTGTCCGAGCAG